ACAGTGTGAAAGAAGGGGTGGGAGGTGGACCGCCAGTGAGGAAGAAAGGAAAAAGATTGCGAATTACATAGAAAGTACGAGCTTTTTGCTCTACGCTGCGAAAGTTCAAAAGGCCGGCAGGGAGATGAGAGATAATGTGAGCGCGGAGAGCGGTAGAGAAGTCCGAGTAGAGAGAGCATAGCAGATCAACATTGCGACGCAGACAAGATATCGAGCGGTGGGCGGAGCGTGTCGCAACAGGTGGAGCGTGTCAAAGTTCTTAGCGCCTAGCGTCTAAATAACGCTTTTCGAAGTAGGGAAGTGACGCGACCTCTACACTTGCGTACCTAGCGCTTCTAGCCACCGTAAAGGCTCATTAAGTGGGTCTGAGCCCGAACTTTGCCTTTAGTCGTCACATCATATCTATTCACGAGTAGCAACGATTTCTATGGTAAATGCAAGATTATTAAATAAAGGTGTTCTCCACTACGTATATATGTGTATGCACGAAATTAATACACACAACAGACCCACGAAATCAATCTGCACACGCCTCTGCGTTTAAAAGTGATAACTCGAAATGGAATTTGCACCAGAGTGTAACGGATGTATAAGTAACAAAACGAACAGGAGCGAAAATAGAAGAAGGAGAGAGTATATCAGGACAGGTACAAGGGAGTTTTTAAACAAGGAAAAAGAGAACAGAAAAGTCGTTAAAAGAAATCAAGAAAAACAATTAGTTAGCCATGGAAAACATTGGCGAGCCATGTATAGACTGAAGTTGTAAGCTAACTTTGGGGCAACTTATACGCTAGCAACTCATAGAGATTTGAAGTGAAATCAAATGACGATGCAGATCTGGGGGTTTCTTTACAAGCTCTCTCCAGCGATATGTATATTCATGAAAATTAATGAAGAATTAAGAATTCAGATTGACTAACGAGGCATATTCATGGAGGTATCAGTTTTTACACTTTCCAAAGCTATAACTCCCTTTAAACTCCCTCTAATTGGAAAATTTTATAGTGGTCGGAAACTAGAAGTTTCGCTCTATTCAACGGTGCTAGAAGTGCTCAATACATCCAGTTTTTTAACCCATAACGGACGGCCAGTGTATTTTTGCGTGCGCCACCATGTGGCGCACGCCGCCACCCAGGGTAGGGTTTATGTAGGCTTATGCGAACAGCAGGGTTAAGACGGGGCTAAAGTAGGTGTCGTGTCTCATCATCCAAAAGAAGAGATTTCCGTTGACGACAAGTTCGTAACCCGCCTTTCCGCTCTAAAACTAGGGTGCAAAGAATGAATGGAAGCTGTAGGTGAAATCATGGAAAAATGCGAACAACAACCCCGAGCAAGGATGTGGCTATATTTAGGGGAAGGGGTCTCGGGACGAGTGAACCCATCAAATAGTAAGCTTATGAAAATTAAGACAAAATGTATGTAAAATTTATTGTAGGTTTGTCAAAAATCCACTCGTCCAGGTCCTGGGAAAGATATGTTATTCCACATTGCTGAGAGTATATACGGGTATATTAAGATTGCTAGAAACGTAACAAAATTCAAATTCACTTGCAGTAAAAGAACATGGCTTTACTAAAACCAACCGTCACCCTAAACTATAATACTGTTTTTGGTTTATCGCCCTATGAGTTGAGAGCGTGAGCATGCGTAGTGAGAATTTCAAAATTTAAAAAAATGAATCAACAAATTTGGCGGCATTATTCAAACCCTAGTTTGTTTCGCATTGACGATGTCTTAATTCATTCGTTCAACAATGTAGAAACGGAAGCATGCGAGAATTCATTAGGCCTTCTTAGAATACCCGAGGACCCCCTTCAATACGCTTCACAATCATAATTACACTCTGGAAGGAAAGAAATATTCAGTGCTCTATCACTGGGTGTCGATTCGGATGCTAAGCTCGTTCCCTACTGGTTACAGCACAGTTAAGGAAATACCGTTTTATAAATTTACGTAACACTAACTTTTCACTCTATTTGTTCCCATCTTCGTAAGCTAACGAGGTTCTCTCCGTTCCGGACCATTCATTTGTCAGCAAATAGCATTTACGCATTTACACCTTGAAATTTGTAACGATGGGGACAGAAAGATTTCAAAACTGAAGGAGAGCTTGTAATGTTTTTTACTGCTCTTCAAAAATTCGGTGTATGATAATACTGAGCTGATGTTAAGCGAGTTTAGGATGGGTGCTTGAGACGTAGGTTCGGTAACCCTTTTTTGAATAACGCGAAGTGGTTCAGTGGTATAATTTATTGATAAGAGAGCGAGAAATAAGAGCGTGGTCGTTTGCCAACGCTCACAGAAACAGTCTCGCTCAGTGGCGTGATAACCATTACTCTGCATTCCGCCCCCTCGAAGAAGGTACTCGAGGGAGAGAAGTTCGTCGAGGAAAGTGTTAGGTAGTCGTTGTCGACGACACTCCCGCGGCCACAACGAATATATGTACATCAATATTAACAAGTATCATCGTATCGTTGACCGGCACGTTGCCAAGTGGCAGCAACTTGACGTCGGAGGCAGCTCGTTGATATGTGGCGACAGGAACCGCTAGGAGAGAGGGGCTCGGTGATGTAGACGGATTGATGAATAGTGTGGACAGCAGCTCGACAGTGCAAGATCGCGGAGAACTTGTTGGCGAGGTCTCTTTACTAGAGGATGCCCTTTGTGACACAGTAGCTGGTTGTTGCCGAGGCCACAACTTCCGCATGTCACTTTGCAGTCATCCCCATGCGACGGTCTCAAGCATTTCAAACACATTGAGTGTAGAACCCTGTACCGTCCTCGACACGGGGTCCGCGTACTTCAAGCAGCGGCCAGAGAAGTGCGAATCACGGTTGTCCTCTACCGTGCAAAAAATACAGTTCGATATAGGAGCAGTCCTCATGAGCAACACGTCAGTGCGCTCCATAAAGATATCATTTGTCGTCATTAGATAGTGCAGGCGAGGAATAACTTGATGTACTGACGAGTTCAGTCGTTGAACTGCGCTCATCAAGGACGTTATAGATGGCGAGTCGTCGCACAGGATGACGTTGTCCAGGTCTTCCATAGCCTGGCGCAGCTCTGGCGTTGAGCTGGAGCAGTCGGACGAGATTTTGCAATGATGCTTCTTACGCTCCAAACGCCCTTTTATGCGCCAAGCCTAGCCTCATATCTCTTTTGTTTGACATCAGTATTTTGCTGACCTTACCATTCCATCAGCCGAGGTTATTATCTCAGTGATTTTGCCGTGAAGCCAACTTCCTCTCGGTAACAGGTCTTGTTCAATCAATACGATTTCCCCTATATCGGGGCAAAGTCGCTGCAGATGGTTATTTCAGGTGTTGGTTTTGAATTTTTCTCAGGGATGTGAGGTAATCACACCTCCAACATTCCCAGAATTTGTCCGATATAATTTCGGAAAGCCTCTATCGCTTGCTCTCTTGACTGCATAAGTTCAGGATCATAAGACGGATCATTGGTGATTTCAAGGTTTCCTCCTTCCGGGATGGAAAACTTGACGTTTCTCTGAAGAAAATCGATTGGACGTAACGGAGTTTCGGTAATGTCGTCCGGATTCAATTTGTTAGAGGCCTTGCGTTAAGAACACCACAATCACTACGTTGAGGCCCAAAACGCAAACAATCAGAAGTTAAAAGAGTTCCTAAAAAGGCGGCCATAACGAGGGCCCAAAAATTTAGGTTCTCCCGAAGCGGCGTAGCTCATCGTATTGGCGATTCTTCTGTAATGGTTCTTCTTCTCAAATGTGAAAAAGAAACTCATTCATTCAACAGCAAAGGGCATGAATCGGTGTGCACCATTCAAGTAAACATCCACTGTCTTTGCGTGGACCGCAGCGCACGAAAAGCTGCGGTCCACGCAAAGAGAGTGGAGAGCAAACCTACATGTAAAAAAACTGATTCTCAGGAGCAGGGGACATGATTCGGTTGCGCCAGAAAGCGTCTGCGCCGCCGCCGCCGCAGAAAGCGTCTGCGTTGCGGCGTCAGCCTTGGAGCGCGGCAGGTATCACCCGGGCGCTGGAAGAACGGGACGCGGCGAAGAAAAAATTTTAGAGGGGAATAACTTTCTTGGGACGTACTTTTTTGACTTGTTGAGGTAGATTTTGATGTGCCTGAGGTGCGCTTTCAGAAAACTACAAGGATTGCCTAACTCTCCGGAAAGTACTTCTGTTAGAAGTGGAAAACCCAAAATTCTAAGAAGGCGCACCTTCAACTTTGAAGGCCCATAAAATCTTTCGTATGCGACATTTTGGAAATCTGTAAAAAGTTTCAGAAACTTCAAATATTTCTCTAACAAAACAGTATAAAAAGTTTAGTGATTGTCCCCTTTTTCAAAAAATTGTCCCGTTCGAACATTTTTCGTGCAAAAGCGAGTTTTTGGGCTTTCAGCGACCATAACTCACTTCATTTTCATTTCTGTGATGCACTTTTTCATGGGTGAAAGTACAGGATTTGCTCTTTCTAACAAGCACCAAACCGTTTTTCAAAGTTCATTTTTCGAGAAAATCACACGTTCGAACATTTTTTCCCATAGGTTTTTGAGCAGCACATGCGAGTTTTTGAAAGAAATGATACGACCGGCCGGATGACGGTTCTATAGATCTTGGATTTGAGACGCTCAGGTATATTCTTATCGCAGAGAACGCCAGTCATCGAGCGCCATTTCAACCAGGCTGCATTCACGCGAGAATTCGTTTCCACGACCAGGCTGCCGTCAGACGCAATTGCTGATCCAAGATACTTGAATGTTGTTGTACGTGTGAGCTCAGTACCATTGATCTTAATAGAGCCTGGCTCACTCGGATCGGTGGTCAAGTACTCTGTCTTTTTTTGACATTCAACCTGAGTCCGAACATAGCTAGACGGTCGGACCAGGTTTGCACCTGTTGCTCAAGCGTGCTTTTATCTTCGCTAGCGAGCATCACGTCATCAGCATAAAGAAGCGTCCATGGTACCGGCTTCTGGAGATCTTTTGTAATGGCATCCATGACGACAACAAATAGCAGTGGGGATAACGCAGAGCCTTGGTGTACTCCGACAGAGATGGGAAAATCCGTCGATGTGCCCGCGGCAGTTTGCACTCGGCTCTTTGGACTCGAGTACAGGATGCGCACCCACTCAATAAGCTCTTCGGGAACGCCATGCTGTCGTAAAGCATACCATATAACGTCACGTGGAACGCGATCGAAAGCCTTCTCCAAGTCTAGAAAGGCAAGATGTATCGGCTTTTGTTTTTCGCGATGCTTTTCTAGCAGAAGGCGAGCGGCGTGTATGGCATCGATGGTGCTGCAACCAGCAACAAAACCACACTGGTTGGTGGTCAGCTCGACGACGTCACGGATACGACTGTCTACAATTCGCTCAAAGATTTTCATGCTATGCGAGAGCAGGCGAATTGGACGGTAGCTAGTGCAGTCCGCAGGACTGCCTTTTTCTTCTTCCAGATTGGAATCGTCGTGCTCTGTTGCCAGCTCTCAGGCACCTTCTTCTCTGCAACGACCTGGTTGAAGAACTCCGTCAACCATGTGCAGGATTCCAGCACTTTGATTTCCACAAGTCCGCCGCTAAGTCGTCAGGACCAGTTGCTTTGCCTGATTTCATCTTCTTCATAGCCGTAATGGTCTCCTCCATGGTTATCTTCTGAACGGGGCCGTGTACTGGCGGAGCGCAAGGGATGGCGGGATGAGCAAATTCGACTGTTGAGATGTTCTCGAAGTATTCACACCATCGCTTCAATGCTTTCTCGCGGTCCGTCAGAAGGTGACCATTCGCATCATTTATGCCGAAGAACTTTTCTATATCCTCGGTCTGGCGATAGCGGGTCTTTGCGAGTCGGTAAATGTACCGTTCACCATCGCGCGACTCGAGTTTCTCATTGAGATCGGCAAAATGAGCTGCTTTCGCAGAAGCAACGGCCTTCTTTGCCTCTTTCTTCGCTATCTGATAGCGCTGCCAGCAACCGGCTGTCTTCTCCGAAAGAAAAGCGTGGTAGCGCTTTTTCTTCTCTCTTACTTTCTCTCTAACTTGATCCGTCCACAGCCATGTTTGCTTATCAACCTTTCTCCGTCCAGGCTTCGTCATGCCGAGCTCGGATCGCGCAACCTGGGTGATCGCTTCGGCAGCACCTTTCCAAGTTTCGTCGACAGTCGTTACCGCTGGTAATCGAATGCGGGAAACGACGGCCGCTTCTTTCTCCTTCAGTCGCCACCACTTGATTCTCGCTGGCCCACATCTTTCGGCTAGTTTCGGTCTCGGTGGGGCGATTTTTAGCGTACAAATCAATGGTCGGTGTTGTGTGACGACCGTTTCATAAGGTACTACTTTTGCGTCCGTTACGAGCCCTTGATCACGGTGCCTAACAAGGACGAAATCGATTTGTGTTCTGGTTTTACCGCTATAGAATGTGATAAGATGTGAGTCACGTTTTCGAAATTTCGTGTTTACTATGGCGAGATTATGCGAGTCTGCATATTCAAGAATTCGTTCGCCATCAGTATTACGTGACCCATAACCAAAACCACCATGACAGCTATAACCGTCTTTCGTAGCGCCCACGTGGCCATTGAGGTCACCGGCAACAATTATGGCTTCTTGTGACGGTACCTCAGCTGTCTTCTCATCAAGCAGGTTCCAGAACTTGTCCTTGTTTTGCTCGGAGCATCCAGTCTGCGGAGCGTACGCAGAGAAGAAATGGTATTTTTGATGTTCCATGACGACAACGATCTTCATTAAACGGTCGTCGAAGCGCTCCACACTTACTATCGAATCACGAAAGCGTTCAGAGACAATCATCCCGACGCCATTGGTGGTTCTGGGACCGCCACATAGAACGGCCTTGAAGCCGCGGCCAATGTCCCTCGACTTGCAGCAGGACCACCTCGTTTCCTGCACGGCACAGAAATCAATTCTTCGGCGCTCCAGAGCTTCTGCTAACTCGTGCGAGCGTCCCGTTAACGTGCCAACATTTAACGTCGCAACGCGAGTCTTCCATACGTTGCGGGACTTTTGGACTAGCCTAGTTGCCCCCCGATGCCGTCCTTGCACCGGAGACCCTCGCATACTTTTCACACTCGCCGGGCTTTGCGAGTGCGCGTCGGCTCCCGCGGACGCCGTAGCATTATCTCGAGATACTTGTAGCGACATTGACATTGTGATGTGACTTGGGTGTTCGTAGGCCGGCCTGTCACGGGGGCCTGTCGCCTGCATTCGAATGTCCGTGGTCGGCTCAGCTCACAC